AGACTGGGATAACCTAACTGAGCATGGATAGTGAGTGGAGAATCTTTGGTTGAGCATGTCTGAGATGACAACGAAAAGTAGTAAAGGCCTTGAGACTCATATCCGACGCCAATCGTCTTTCCCGAACTCCGATCCTGCAGGGTAACATTATTATTAGTGAAGGTGATACTACAATCAAGAGAACGAGTTAAACGACTGACTGAAAGTAAATTAAATGGACAATTAGGTACATAGAGGACAGAAGTAACAGATAGAGAAGGTAGAATTTGAACAGTACCAATCCCTTCGGATCGGGTTTGAGAACCATTGGCCGAAGTTATAGTAGGTAAGAAACCAGAGGTAGAGAACAAATTTTTATTACCAGTAACATGATCAGACGCACCAGAATCAAGGACCCAAGGTCGAAGAGGAGATGATTGAGAGAGGCAAACAGATAAATTACCAGTGTGTGCTACCTTAGCAGTAGAATCTGAGTTCTGATAATTCTGATACCACCTGAGGAAATCATCGTAGTTTGGCGTAAAGTTCTGAGGAGTAGCCATGAGTATCTGAAGAGAGAAAATATCACGCGATCGATCGCTGGCCGGACGTGCTGTCACGTGTGTTTCAGGTGGCGGCGCTTGATGCCCACGCGCAGAAGTTTGCCGGAAGGTCGTTGAGAATAGCAACGACGGCGGCAGCTATGCGGTTATGACCGGAGAATTTTGAAAAGTGAGGCAAACCGGAGTGACAACACGGTTTGCAAAAAAAAATTTTAAAAATTTCTCACCGGAAGACAGTGGGTCAACCGGGTAAAGCACGGCGAAGAAAGAATTGTCTCTTAGCAGGCTCTAGATACTATGTTGAAATACAAGAGACTAAGAGACATTTGAATAAACCGTGTATTTTGAAAAGCACTACGGAGACATTATTATATATAAATAGAATACAAGTAATTACATGATATAGTCGATGTGGGACTATTCTATATACAAATATTCTCAACACTATATATATATATATATATATATATATATATATATATATATATATATATATATATATATATATATATATATATATATATATATATATATATATATATATATATATATATATATATATATATATATATATTTACACATATCAACAATTCTCAAACCCGATCCGAAGGGATTGGTACTGTTCAAATTCTACCTTCTTTATCTGTTACTTCTGTCCTCTATGTACCTAATTGTCCATTTTGGACTCATTACAAGTGAGATCCCGTCAGGGGAAAAGGTGGAACATCTAGCAAAAATGTGTATAATAAAAAGTTCCTGTGCCTAAAACTGGAGGAACAAGTTCCTGTGCCCGAAATTGGAGGAACAGTAGATGTCTTCACCATTAGTACCAGGTTGGACTCATTACAAGTGAGATCCCGTCACGGGAAAAGGTGGAACATCTAGCAAAATTGTGAATAATAATAAATGCATGTGCAATCCTAAATATTCAATGAACAAAAAGTCTATAACAGAGCAGTTAAACCCCCCTTCTAAAACTAAAAGATAAACTCTTGGACCATAGGACGAGGCAGCCAAAGTTAAATTTAGGCTAGCTATCTTAATTGAAGAGTATTAATGTGATAGGTAAATGAAAAGTATTTGTTACTTTCCCTTTTTGATGTCCTAGCTTCAGGAACAAAAGGATGATTTGGGCACTTCGGAACTGTCATCCATCTTCACCTGGCTTTTGTACTTTTGAAGACTGGTGTTCTTTAGACACTTTGGAAAATTTCAAGATGATTTCTAGATGGTGAGTGTATTGCACTCTGAAAATCTTTGTTTCATGTAGCTAATTTTGTTAGTTGTCCGGATTAGGAATTTCAAGTTTTTTTTTTGTTTTGATTTTTGTCTGATTGTGAATCTTTGTTTCTTGTAGCTAACTTGCTGCTGGGTTATCAATATATGTTTTTAAGATTCTATTCACTACAAAGTTATATAGAATTAGTGGCAGGATGTTTTTATCTAGCCTTTGATGAACATGCTTTTGAGAAGATGAAGTAGAGATTTTGAGAAGATGCAGTTTTCGAAATCTTGCTTTACTTTTTCAAAATTATTACATTTCTATGTTATTTGTAATGATATATTATTAAATTGAAATTATTAATATATGATATATGTTGTTCTATTGCAGTTCTCGAATTCTTTGTTGTTCTATATATTGCTGTTCCATTAATACATGCTTTAGGGTGGATGAAAACCCTGTACCGTTTGATAAGGATGAAACGGACGACACTCGATCGTGGAGACATACTCTTAATGTGAATTTTATTGCTGTTTTTGACACTACCCGCCTTGCGGTAAGCTTGAAATTTGTCCTGGTTTTCTTTCACGTATCACATTATCGATCACACAGTTAAGAAAAAAGGGGATTGAAACCTTTTGTTGTTGATTGTGTGCTTTTTAATAGATTAAAAGCATGGCAGCGTTGAAAAGGCCTGGGGTGATCGTAAATTTGGGTTCTGCTTCGGGTCTTTATCCGATGTATCTTGACCCTATCTATAGTGGCTCTAAAGGTTTGTCATTTAACAATCAATTATGCATCTCCACAAAACTTATACTAACTTACTATCATTTTTTGTTTTCCCAAAAATTAACTTACTATATAGTTTACTAAACTGTTTCTTCGCTTCACAGTTGGTGTTGTTATGTTTACTAGAGCACTTCGTTTATACAAACGTCAAGGAATTCGAGTCAATGTGCTTTTCCCTGAGGTAAGAGTTGTTTTTGGACTTGAAAATTTTGATATTTTCCAAATAAATTCTACTCTACATTACAGTTTACTATAATTAATCCCTGAAATATTAATGTTTAGTGCAGTTTGTTGAAACTGAGATGGGCTTAAAGGTGGATCCCAAATTCCTTAATATGATGAGGGGCTTTGTACCTATGGAAATGGTGGTGAAAGGTTAGTCTGCATATCATTTTGTTATTTGGTGTGCCTTGGAAAAAAGAGCATGAGTGTTTGTACTTTGTAGACTCTTAATTCACAATAAAGATGAGTTATTTTAAATTGACCGTGTGTTCTCATGGTTTTGTTCATTTTAAGATGAGTTATTTAGTTGTTTCATATTGCTGCTTACTGTTTGCAGAGTTTGTTCATACCTTGACTCACAACTTTCAGAATGCTACCGGCTTAGTGAGAGCACCACTGAGATTACCTATCAAATCAAACTTTGTTCTTGTTAAGATAATTTATGCTGGTGTAAATGCTAGTGATGTAAGTTTTTACATATTTCTAGAAGATTTGTGTGTGAATTTATTTTCTAGCTACAATTCTGACAAGAATTTGTATTGATAGGTAAAATTTAGCTCAGGCCGCTATTTTGGTGGCAATAGCAATGATGCTGCGGCCCGTCTTCCATTTGATGCAGGATTTGAGGTATGATGTATCCCCAAACATAGATTTCTTTTATGAAGCTGATCACTTGATGCAGAATGCCTATACTCATATGTGTGCTGAATTTCAAATATATTTTAGGCTGTGGGAATCATTGCAGCAGTTGGGGACTCGGTCAATGACTTGAAAGTTGGCACGCTGTGTGCATTCATGACTTTTGGAGGTTATGCTGAATTCACAGAGGTGAGCAGTGGTTTTATCTCGTTGATTCTGGTTTCGTCGCATTTTAGTTTTCGCATTGATTTGGTAACAACAGCTGATTATAGGTTTACTCTCAGATTTATCATTGGTGCTGCGATTGAATGTTGGTTAAGTTACTTTGAGGTTATTAAATAGGATATGATATTATGGTTTTCTGGTTTCTAGTTATCTCAGTCATGTTCATACTAAACTTTTAGGACTTGATTTTAAGAATTCTTTTTGAAATTTGATGATGGGTTTTACTGCTTGTATGACTTTCAGTTGTAATTATCTTTATAAGTTGCTTATGGCATCCGACTGAACCGGTTTCGGTTTTACTGCTGTTCATTCAATAGATATGTTTCCTATAGTTTTTTGTTTCCTATATAGTAAGTGCTTATGTGGTGTAGGTTTATGATGATATCTCTAGTTCCTAACTAATCAGGATTTTGGTGATGTAGCACCCTTTTATTTGAAGGCTAATTTGATTAATCTTTTATTGTGAATTTACTCTATTATTTGAAGGCTAGTTTGATTAATCTTTTATTGTGAATTCGCTCTTTGATTTGAAGGCTAATTTGATTAATCTTTTATTGTGAATTCACTCTTTTATTTGAAGGCTAATTTGATTAGTCTTTTATCCTGAACTGATGTTAGGATGCAATGCAAAGGAAAGCTCTTGCTTCTGCATATGCTGCTGCAGCATTAGAAGAGGCCAATGCTACTGAATGCATAATAAGAAATTTAAGGTAATGACTACCCTTTGACCAGATGTTACTGATTAGTAGTTTGGATGTGGATAAAATGTCCTGATGAGTTATTTTGGGGTAATTATGTTTATTATATGATTATATAATTATATGATTAGTCTTTTATCCTGAACTGATTTTAGGATGCAATGCAAAGGAAAGCTCTTGCTTCTGCAGCAGCTGCTGCTGCATTAGAAGAGGCCAATGCTATTGAATGCATAATAAGAAATTTAAGGTAATGACTATCCTTTGACCAGATGTTGTTGTTCTATTGTAGTTCTCGAATTCTTTGTTGTTCTATATACTGCATAATAAGAAATTTTAAATTAATTGTATTACATAGCAGTTTAATATATTTTTATTGGATAATAGTATAAAATAAATTATTTTATACTGTCAATTATATCATTTAAACTCATAACAAAAATATATATTTATAGAATAAATATATTTAACATTTTAAAATATAATTATATTTAAAGTAAATATAAAGCTTTGATTTAAATTTATCTAACGTATTCATTGATCTCACTTCATATTTTTCATAGGTAACGAATAATATTCATTGATCTCACTTCATATTTTTCATAAGTAACGAATAATTCTCCTTCCGAGAATGATTTGGAGGATAACTGTGACTTTGGATTTCTAATGGATATGCGTAACCGTTTTGAACTTTCAATTCCTTCTACATATTTTGGAAATTGTTTGATGATGTGTGGCACAGCACTACCAAAGAGAAAGTTATTGGGAGAGAATGGTATATGTGAAGCAGCAAATGTTATTGCAAGGGAAATTAGTTTGGCAGATCCATTAAAAGAAGTTGAAAAGTTTGGAATAAAATCAAATAATTTTGTTTGTGTCATGGGGTCACCAAAGTTTGATGTGTATGAAACTGACTTTGGATGGGGAAATCCCATTTTAAGTGAAATTCTTCATTTGAGTGATTCAAATGGTTTTCTTCTTTCTGATTCAAAGGATGGATATGGTAGTATTGAAGTTTCTATGTTGCAAGAAGAAGCTCAGGTGAAGAAATTTACTGACATCTTAGACGTGCAACTTAGAGACATCGTAGCTTTTGAATGAAATTATTTTGTTGTTGTTTTCTTTTCTCAATATTATTAGTTCATTGTTAATTTGTGGTGCTGTTACTTGTAAAACCTTCAATTTGTTTAATTATTGTTTATCATTTTGTGTTATTTTTGTTTTGTTATCTTTGCACTAATGCAAAAAGGGATATCATCTTAATTAGGAAAAGATGAGAATCTAATTCTTTCAGGTGATTTCTTTCTTGGGGCAGTTGTCGCATGTACACTGACAAAACTTATCCTAAGGTTGGAAGAGGTCCAGGCCTCAAAAGTTGAAGTTAACAAGGCAACTTCACAGACTTTGTTGATCACAATCTCAATGCTGCAGCTTGGTCAGTCTTCAGTTCTTCCACATCCAATTGATAATGATTCTCATGACAGGATTGTCCTTTGCATGAGGCTCAACCAGAACCATCTATTTTTTCATTTTTTGTTGCACAGGACAAGCAAATTTGTTGAAGTCGTCAATTTTAGTTGTGGGAGCTGGAGGGCTGGGGGCTTCTGCATTGTTATATTTTGCAGCTTCTGGTGTTGGTAAAATATGACACTTTTTCTAATGATTTTTGCTTTGTTCTATAATCTATAATCTCATCAAAGCTTACATTTTGAAAATTGTACTCAGGTAAACTGGGTGTTCTTGATCATGACAAGGTTGAGTGGAATAATATGCATAAACTGGGTGTTTTTAATGAATTACTTATGACTAATCAATGCTAATAATTTGTGATATATATAACAGTTACCAGAGGATCACTACTGCTATTTCAGTTGGTAAGTTCTTACATAGCATCTATTATTGGTATTGGTATAATTTAATTCATGGTTGCAACTTATCATCAAATTATGTTTTTTCTGCAGTTGCACCTATATGCTATGCACACTTAGCTGCAACTCAGTTGGGGCAGTTCATGAAATTCGAGGATAAATCTGAGACATCCTCAAGCCATGGTGGACTGAGTGCTGCCGGAGCTGTACCTGTCCCCCAGCTTCCAAAATTGTAGGAAAGTGTGTGCAACTCTATGTTCTTCTGTTGAAGGCTTATTTGTTGACATAATGTTGTATATATAACTGTTCCAACCTAACTTTTGAACCTGGTTAAACTTTGTTAGCCGTAGGCTTGTTTGTTGACTTCTATATGTGAAGGCTTCCTTTTGATGTTAGTTAGATTATATTGTTATGTTTCTCTTAATTGTGTAACATTAATTGGTGACATGAACATTTGAAATGTATAGTGTGATTGTGGAAGCTTTGATGGTGGATAGTTTGCAAAGACTGTGCTCATCTTTGGAAAGTCTACTCAGAAAAGACTGTGCTCATCTTTGCAAGGACTGTGCTCATCTTTGGTTGGTACCTTTTATTATGGTATTCCTCATCTCATATTTTTGTTGTTGTATTACAAGTTAAGCTGGAAATTACCTGTTGCTTGCAAATTTATTTTGTCAGTGTAAATTTTATATACAGGTACGCCCTTGGACCTTAATTATTCCAATATTTTTACGATCAAGGCAAATGGATTTTCTGCTTCAGATTTGGCCCCTACAGACCAGAAGCAACCAGCATGGAAGCCATATCTTTTCAAAGGAAAGCAGAGAATGCTGTTTACGACTCATGAGGTTGTTCACGCGGCTCTCTATGACAGAGATGAGATTCCGGACAATATATCAGTTTCTGGTCAAATTAACTGTAGAGCTGATCTGGGCCAAGTTTGCCGAAGAGGTACATGTCATAACCAACACATGATCAAGGTATAGTTTGAGCGTGTCATAAAGTGACGGTCAAACCCTCAAGTTGTCTCAAGATCATGTTTTTGATGGATTTAAGACATATTTTTATAGTTATTGAATAATAAAACATATTTTGAAATTTTAACTGACATAAAATAATAAATTAGTATGCTGATAAATTAATGGTTAGAAAGCAGATGGTGGGTGTGAGTGCAATCTGCAAGATTTATAGATGAGGCTATAATGCAAAAATTTGAGTCAGAATCGAAGTCAATGGAGGGAAGGGTGGGTGTGCCTTAAGATCCACCAGTGGCAACAACTGTGAAAATCTGGGGGGATTATTGGTAGGCACCATTAGTAAAAAGCTGTATATATGTGAAGTTGTAATGAGAGAACTACTTGGTAATGTAACCATCAGACGCACTATAAATTGGCGGGATTTGCGAGTTGGTTGGAAACTGAATGGAAGTTTGTTGAGCAAAGATATGGGTGCTATCAAATTCACCATAGAGTTGTATGCGTTTGGTGGGTTATTTATATCATAGGATTTAAAAAAAAAAAAAGAAGTTCTGGAGCACTCTTTTTGCATCTGTGTCTGCAGAGTATTTTTTTATTTTTTATTTTTTATATTCTTCCTAATACTAGTTGAATCTATCAACTAGAAGATGGTGATGAATAGAGCTCCTGGGTTTGTAAGAGAAGATGCTACTGGGCGGATCGGTAAGATAGGAAGTATTTTAGGTTGAAGGGGTGTATGGGAAAAAAATGGAAGCTATTCTGGAAGCTATGGAAGGCAATGCCCTCTTGTGGATGCAGTTTTGGGAATTTTGCACATCGAATCCCATTTGTAATGAGTTTAAGGAAGCTGTGATTAAAAGATTTCAGCTAGCATTGGCTCTAAATTCATAAGGTTCTATTAGGTTTGAGGCGAGAGGATTTAGTGCATTGTTGCTTCATACGTCTCATTTGTTAAAAATATTTTAGTCTTTGTTCTAATTGAATTGAATTATCTTTATTTATGGTTGTTACCTCGGTGCGATGAGTTCAGTTAAACACGAATCTCAACATACCTAGTGAGATGCATTGCAAATGAGTTCATACCCTTTTGTCCTGTATACTGTTATTATACACATACTTTTGTCCCATACTGAGGCATTGTTCCTTCATCATCTCTAATATTTGTAAATATAAATGCAGGCAAAAATTGAGCAGCTTAAATTAATGGGTCCTGTTATTTTGAGTGGAATTATGAAGTCTCTTGACAGTTATTCTACTTTAGAAGCAGGTTTGCTTAAAGGATTAAGTTGTATTGTATTTGAAGGATATTATTTATTTTATTTCATATTCAATTTTTAAGTATTAACTCAGATGCCAGTGCTCGGGAAGTCAAAACTTATGCTTTTCAAGCGATTGGACTGCTCGCGCAACGCATGCCCCACCTCTTTAGGTGCCAGCCTCTATTTCGTGTGGTTATAGACTTATACTCCCTCCGTCCCAAAATACGTGTCTTTTTAGCCTAAGAAATTTGTCCAAAAATAATTCTATTTACTTTTTCAACGCAACATTAATTACTTTTTTTTACCAACTTTATCCCTATTGAATATTGTCTACACTACTTTCAAGTTATCAAATCATACCATTCATTAATGACAATGTATAATAGCCAATAATAATTAAGGTTAGTTTGGTAAAATTGTTACATTTATTCATTCAATAATTACTTTTTTTAACCTATGTAACAACCTTATTTTGAGACGGAGGGAGTAGTTTATTTCCCTTGGGTAAATTTGTTTTTTTTGGAATTTATTTGCATTGGCGGAACCAAAATAGGTTTAGATTGCAAAATGTTGTAGCACATTATCATGTCGTTTAATTCATGTAGTCAACTTTGGCTTCACATAGTGGATAATGGTTGTTGTTGCAGACAATTGATTTAGTTCTTATTTAAGTTGTAGTAAGTGGTTTCTAATGGAGCTATTATCTGTTCTTTCAGCAAAAAATTGACATGGCTGCTCGACTTTTTAATGCATTGAAAGTTGAATCCCAGTCTCTCCGATTTGTTGTTCAAGAAGCAACAATATCTCTTGCTGCAGCATACAAAGTAAATTAAATGCCTCATATGTGAATCTATTTTTTATGAAGTTATTTGTACTGGAATATTTTCTTTTGAAGTTTTAGTCGCTACTCTATGTGATGTGAAAGTAGTTGTAGATCTATGATGATCAGATGAACTTCTTTTGTTTTTGGTATCATTTAGTTTTAGTTTTAATGGGATAATGGGATGGAAATCACCTATTCTCTTCTTTCTACGCTTATTAAACACTGTTGATGTTTACCTTAATTACATATATGATATGTCACATGTGAATTTATAGTATGTAGAGCTATGATGATCCAACGAACTTCTTTTGTTTTAGGTATCATTTAGTTTTAGTTTTTGTTATAATTAAGTAAACTTATAGATATTCTAGATTGTTAGTATTCCTGGAATATACAACTTCCTAGGTTAGTGCTTCTTCATTAGCATTCAATGTATTTACTGTAACACCATTATAAATGCTAATAGTGTGATCTGAGTATCGACATACAAATTAGAGAATTTTAGTTTTAATGGGATGGAAATCACCTGTCCCATTCTTTCTATCCCTATTAAAAACTTTACACCTCAGCAAAAGACATTCCATCTCTTATTTTGTTTTTTTGGATGAGGTGTTTTGTTTTTATTGGAGACGTTAGAATATAAGTACCAAAGAATGTCTAGATATTATGTTAGTGTATCTTGAATTATCTCATAGGATTAGATTCTCATCTTAGAATCTATTGGATCATCTAAAATTAATTTCCATATTGCTCAGTTAGTGTCACGATTTTTTTCATGATTTTCCTATTTATCTAGGATAGGAATAGGTGTCCTGTAGCCCCAATAAATAAGGGGGTTATTACCTAGTCTTCTGTATCAAGTGAGTATATCTTAGGTTTTGGGTTGAGACTAATTGATCCTTGCAAAACCGATTTGTAAAGGCGAGAGATGTCTTCCACTTATAAACACTTTTTTAGGTTGTATCACATATAATGTGAGACTCTGTACAGTAAAAATGCAATTTTTTAGGATCCTTTTATTTTATGATTATATTGTCTTTGACTAATTTCATATCATAAAATGAAATCATCTCAACATTTAAAATATTGAGTTTTAGACAAGATTTTCTTTTGGACTCTGTTTCAATTTTCAAAACTTTTATTATGCTCTTACTTCTGAGCTTTTGGTTGATTT